AATAATAATAGTCAGATTCATTTATTTTACCTACACATCTATTTCTGTAAGTGCAGGGCACAAGACAATTACACATTCTCCTGGACAGGACGGGTAGCTTTTAACTACAGAAAGTAACTCAGGAGTGATATCCAAGACTGTTTACCTCACATACCTGATTTTATCTATTTATTATTGTCAGTAATAACACAAAGTTGTGACAAGCATGCATACGTGTACACATCAGCAAACCTGCCCAAGCACTTGAACATTTTTTCAATGTAATTTATTTCATTGTAAGATTATAAACTTTTGGAATCTTTTGTTTTATTTTAAAGTGGGTTACACTGACGAGTTTTTGTATGTTTGTAACGGGTTTTGGGGAAAACATCTGCATTCATGCAATGATCAATTTAGTTTTGTATTAGGAGACATTATAATTTCTCACATTCCTAATGAAAGACACTTTGTAAATTATTGAGCCAAGCTGAGTTAATTTTCGTGCAAAGCTAGTAGTCATTACAGGGAGAAAAATCTAATTATGAAACTCAATTACACAACATGGGATATGTATCCATGGCGACCAGCAACACAAATGCCAGAAGAGAAATTTTAGAGATGTCCAAAGAAAAATATATTTAAAAAGTGAAAATGTAGGACAGGCATAGAGAGTAGGAGTGAATAACAGAATCTGAGTAATATTTATAGACTTTGACCTTGGCAGTACTGTATTAAATGAATCTGATTATGGTGGCTCTGGATACTTACTGAGTATATATCCTCCTCAATGATACACCAGTGTACTCTAAAGCAGTACACTGAGTACCTTCTGACCTTCCTCCTGGTGCGGCCATCCATAAGGTTTTCTTGGTAAAGTACCGCGCAGTTAGAAATAAACTGGAAGCCACTGTTACCATGGTGATCACCTGCTGCCCAGTGTAGCTGCTAGGTTTGGTTGGGCAGCTGTGCTAAGCTCTGTCTGCTGTCAGGGAGTCTGACGGGAGCTGAAAGCTCCGGGAATTTTAGATCTTAGCCTCCCTGATGTGTGCAGGCCTCCTTAGTCCAAGGAGTCGCGTCACCAGGGGGTGGGGGTTAACATATTTTTTCCATATTTATAGTATCTAAATGTTTATTAAACTAAAATGCGCAAATAATTATAATAAAAATACTAACAATTATAATTTTGACTAATTCTTGGATTCTGTAGTCATAGGTCATTCATGAAAATGAAGCTGCTTGACTTCCCCATTCCCAAGCTGGACGTCACCCTGGGCGAGGCCAGCCGTGTGCTGCAGCTCACCCTGGATCCCCAGCAGTACTCAGACTATGAGAGTACCCTTTCCCACCAGAAGGGGGTGCTGCAAGACAATCATGGCCGCTTGGCTGCCGCTGCGTCCGGACACGAGAACTGGGTGACCGACCAGTTCAAGAGCCGTCTGCTGTCTTGCCGTGAACCCCTGCCCACCTCCACCGCCATCCCTGCTGTCTTGGCCCCCTCCAGATCTCAGCGGACCGGTGTCCCAGTTGAGCGCGCAGCAGCTCTCCTCTGGGCGGCGGCCAGGCTCTGCACTGAGCCGCAGCTGGTGGAGGGTGAAGCTCCCACAGAGAGGACACAGCAGTCGGAGGTCTTCTCTGCCAGCCGCCTCCCTGGTAAAAATCTGGACCAGATTCAGGTGAGATTCATGCCTAAATATTACTACCAGCATGATCAGGAATCCTCACCCCATGTCTTCTCCTGAAAATGAAAACGCAGCTTCTCGCTCACATATTGAAGCCCCTAAAGCCCAATTCAGTCAACGTTTTAGACTCTAAGGCTCCATTAGACATTTCTAGCACTGGATATTTTCTCTGAAATATTTCACCCTTGCCTGTATGTAGGGCAGCAAAGCTCCACCCAAAATCCTTAATCATGATCCAATCGGCTGTCCTTTACTCTCCACCTATCTGGGTTATTTCCAGGTTTTCCCGGACAGCCTTCACGCCATCCTGATCTGCCACGGAGGGATATTCCCAGTGCAGATCCTGTGCCGTCCGCATCCTGGGCTGCCCCCACGCCCGCTACCTTTCCTCGACATCTACAGCCAGGTGGCAGAGGCTGCCAGTCGGCCCCAAGCAGCTGAGGAACAGGACCCTGCCATCATCTGCAGCTTCTCCACCCTCCCACGCCAGGACTGGCATGCCCTGAGGCGGCGCATCCTGGACAGTGGGGGAGAAGCGGTTGTCTCACTTGGGCTGATGGAAAGTGCCGTGGTGGCCCTGACCCTGGACAACTCCCCACCTCCGCCTGATCTGGCCGGAACCCTCAACAAACTGAGACTCGGGGGAGATGATGGATGTTGCCTGCGATACTATGACAAGGTAATGGAAGGTCTTTATGGGATGCTTTTGACGTGTGGTGACCAAGAGGGAAAAAAGCTCCAATGAGACAACATGGAGTAACAACCAAATCATACTTTATGGAGGGTGAAATAACTTATGATTTTAGATTTACCTTGTAATTAAAACAAGCAGAAGATGATCGACTAGAACCTATGTAATATAGAATAGCTGGTCTGGGCAATGAGAGTGGTATCTGTGTCTGACGAGTATCGTGTTTCTCACAGGTGATGAATATAGTGGTTTTCCAGGACAGCACAGCAGGTGTGGTGTTTGAGCACAGTGCCGTGGACGGCATGGTCGCCAGCTTGGTGACAGAGAGCGTGTGGCACCTTTCTGAGTCACTTCAATTAAGCCAGCTTCTGCCGGAGGCTGGAGTCAGCCCTCAGAACATCTTGAGTACCGGCAAGTCCTTATCTCTTCATCCATTGTCCTTCCCGCTACAGGCCATAAGGCAGCAAGGCACCCCCACCCCCCCATCACTTCTTCAGGCCTCCCATCCTATCATGACCTTTGAGGTTCCATCTTACCCAGATATCTTCAGCACCCTGAGAGCTCACAGGGCCTTGTTCGATGCATGGGTCAACTTCTCCTTACAGCTTGCCCTTTGGCAGACTCTCGGGGATTCTGCTGAGAGACACATCCTGGTCACGCCCACCCATATGCGTCACTATAAGCATGGCCGGTGTGATCCCACATTCACCTCGACTGTGCAGTCCCGCCAGCTACTGAAGGCCTTAATGTCCTGCACTGGGCCCAGAAACACCCTACAGCACACCAAAGACCTCTTGCGCCTCTTTCATCAAGCATTCCAGGAGCACAAGCTCCTCATCAAAAACACAAAAAGTGGTCAGGGTGTAGGTCCTCATTTGGCTGCCCTACGCTTGGCTTTATCTCAGGACAACCCTCTTAAAAAGTTCCTAGATCCCTTTGGCTGTCCCTCGGTCTACCTCACAGGCAAAGATTTGATGGAAGGGGTGGACTGCGCTGTGGGGAATGTATATGCGCAGGACCAGCTGGCTGTCACCTACCTTGGAAGAAGAGACCGGGTTCGCATGGTCCTTAGTGGGAAAGGTAGTTTTGCTAATGTTTTGGGTCGACTTCAGGAGAACCTTAAAATCACTCTTAAGCTGATAATGCTGTTGGCCCTGAGGTACGCTATCGCAGCTCAAATGGGGGCACTGGAATGCTGGTTGCAAGATCAAGATCATATGACAGAGAAGGAAAATCCAGTCACTGTAGCAGGAGGTTTCAATCAGCAGAAAGCTTCTTCTGGTTTGACTCCGGATACGAAATCAGATTTCACGCTGCTGATCCATGGTGGAGCTGGGGAGGACATGATGTTGAAGCAGAATGAGATAAATATGATTGAGTTCTCACTGCAGTCAGCCCTAATGCTGGGGGAACGGGAGTTAGCAGCCGGAGGAAGCAGCCTCAATGCAGTTGAGAGATGCGTGTCTGCACTTGAGGACTGCTTCTTCTTCAATGCTGGCAAGGGTTCAGTGTTCAACAGGGAAGGGAGGAACGAAATGGAGGCAACTATCGTAGATGGCAGCGAAGTGAATTCTGGGTCTGTGGCTTGTCTGAAAACAGTGAAAAACCCAGTCAAAGCAGCAAGGAAGGTCATGGAGAAGAGCCCCCATGGACTCCTGGTTGGAGATGGTGCCGAAGCATTCCTGCAGGGCCTGGATGTCAAGGAGAAGCCAATGGGGCCTGAATACTTTCGCACCGATGTGCGGCACAAAGAGCTGAAGATGAAACTCATGGATAGAGGTACCTCAAAAAACAACCACCCCCAAACAGTAGGAGCCGTCGCTTTGGATCGGCATGGAAAGCTGGCTGCAGCAACGTCCACCGGCGGGTTAGTGGGAAAGTGGGAGGGACGAATTGGAGACACGGCAGTGGTGGGTGCTGGGATTTTTGCTGATGCAAAGCTGGCAGTGACCTGCTCTGGAGATGGGGACGTGTTTCTGAGATGGACTGTAGCACACAAAATAGCTAGTCTCTACCACCATAAAGGCCACAGTCTCCAGGAAGCCTGTAGGGAGGTGATTTCTGAAGACCTGAAGGGGTCCTGTGCAGGAATAATAGCTGTTGATGCTCGTGGTGATGCTGTGATAGAATGTAATGCAGGGATGATGTTTGTTGGATCTATAATAAGGGGCACTGCATGTGCTGAAGTCTTAAGACCCTTAAAAACGTATTCTAATGTAATCTGGGAGACAGATAAACTAGTAGCCTACTTACACTCTGAACCATGGACCCCAGGAGCAACAATACTTACTCAAAAGAACCCAAACATGCCCAACAGTATCTTTCATCTTCCAGAGCAAGAGTTCCTAGAGCTATTTCTGGGGGCGAAGACAGTCTCCAATCTTCTCTGTGAACAACTAGAGGTACAGCGTTGTGCTCTAGTGTTCAAGCCACAACCGGAGCAAGCAGCTCACATCCGGCTGTTGCCACTGCATGGACTGGAATCAAACTGGAAGCCTCACCTTGCTGAAGAAATGAACTTCCAATATTATGACCCTGGTTACTGTACTTCTAAGAGTGGTCCACTTTGTGAGGATGCAGAACTAAAGAAAGTCCAAACTAAAATTAGATCATATCTTTCGACACCTGATACACCACCTAGCTATACATTTCTTGGAGACCCCTCCCACAATAACCTCTTCTCCCGCATAGTGCGTGGGGAGGAGAAGCAGTGGAGAGTGTGGGAAAGCAGTGAGCATGTGGCTTTCCTCACACCATTTCCCAGTGCTCCAGGTTTTACCGTTCTTGTGCCACGTCAACCACTACCAAGCAATATCTTTTGCTTGGAGGAAGATGACTACAAGGCTTTGGTCCTGGCCTCCCGTGAAGTAGCCCATCTGCTGGAAAAGGCCATGGGTGCCCATGGTGTGGCGCTAATCTTTGAAGGCTATGAGATTGATTACGCCCATGCAAAATTGATTCCATTACTTTGTCCACCTGGACAATATCCTTTAAGCAACATCCCCCAGTTTTGCTCCACCTACCAGGGGTATGTGACTTCTGCTGATGGCCCGCTGGCTTCTCCTGAGAGTCTGAAAGAGATCCAATCAAAAGTCACACGCTGCAAACCACCTCAGTCTTGGAAGGACCCTGAAAAACACGCTGATCTAGCTGTCAGAAGCCAGTGGTACCGCCAGCTCTTTAAAATCCAGGATACTCTTTTTCATTCTACTGTGGAGTTCTTTCACAACATCTGCAGGTATGCATACGCTCTGACTCCCGTCACCACTGACACCATCTCCTCACCCATGGGCCTAGGATCTGACTCTGAGCCAGTTTATGTAAACATGTTTGGGCAGGATGTCTATCTAGCAGACTCCATGCAGTTCATCCTTGAGTATTTCCTGCGCTTTCAGGAAGGCCTGCGAGGCACCTATTACATGTCACCCAGTTTCCGTGGGGAAGATCCTGACGCTACACACCTGAACCAGTTCTATCACGTGGAATGTGAGCTTCTGGGAGACGTGGAAAAGGCTATGCATGTAGCTGAAAGCTATGTAGCCCACCTCACGCGCACAATGCTGAAAAAGCACTCTGGCGTTATCTTGGCGTGTGCCGGGACACTCTCCCATGCTCAAAGTCTGCTGAAAAGCTTAGATGGACAGCAGCACCTACCAAGGGTCACACTGGAGCAGGCCTTGCCTGTGATGCCTTCTGAGGATTGTTTTGAATGGGTGCAGGATGGGCAACCCCAGTTTGGGAGGAAACTGACGCGTAAAGGGGAGCAAGCCCTGATCAGGAAGTATGGGGGAGCGGTTTGGCTGACGGAAATGGATCACCTCGGGGTGCCTTTCTACCAGGCGTATGTCGAGGGATCGGGGAAGCAAAAAGCCAAAGCAGCAGACCTTCTCCTGGGTCTGGGAGAGACCATCGGCCTGGGGGAGAGGCACTCCACCCCTGAGATGGTGCAAGAGGCCTTGAGGCACCATGCAGTGCCAGAAGAATCTTACAAATGGTACATTAAGATGCGTCAGATGAAGACCCTACTCAGCAGTGGCTGGGGCATGGGCACCGAGCGATACCTGTGCTGGCTGCTCCAGCACGATGACGTCAGAGACATGCACATCATACCTCGTCTGAAGGCCAAGAAGTACATGCCGTGAAATGCTAAGTGCCCCACTCCTTCTATATTAAAAGGTTCAGACATTAAGATGCTAGAGAAAGTAAAACCTGGCTGACAGTATAAATGGCAGATTCTTAAAAAAAAAAAAAGTACTCAAGTCAAGTAAGGTATAAATTATATTCAGCCATCAATGATGAACACCAGAACTAATTAAGCAGCAATTAAAGAGTCAGACCCACCCACTACACATACAACCAGAAACTAAACCCAACTGCTTAATGTACATTTCTATCAGCATTCAAATTTCATGAACAACATGCCATGAAATGGGGCCACAGATACAAACAGCTGGAGTTCAGCAAGTTCGATTCACATTAACAGCAGTTGTTATGTAATTGTGTGTGTTAATCTAACTCAATCAATACAACTGCTCCTTCTAACTTTGACAATGATTATTAATAAAGAAACATTTACAGGACACCATCTGTATTTATTTGGTTTTATATACTTATATTCCATATATAATATTTTTCTGAAGGATACTCAACTGAACCATTCCATCAGTTTGGCTTAGAAACCTGGAAAATCAGTAAATCATTTTGACCTTTTCATTAATAGAGGTAAGCATGGAGCAACTAAAGTCCCATAAGGTGATTTTTTTTCTTTTGCGCACAAGTTAATTTACCATATATTCGTGGAACCACGAAATTGCATTCCGTCTTTTATTGTCACGAAAGGCTCTACAAAACGTTTGATTTCGTCATGAAATAATTCTTTTGTGGCACAGAATGTATCTTGTGCACGAAAATGAGCGCTTTACATGACATTCTAATATGAAAATGAAACTTGATTAGCTGAATTCTGTTCATTATATGGTTTCTGTGTGCAGATCTAAAGTGCGTTGAGACGCATACGAATTTATAAAAAATCACCTTGTGGGACTTTAGGGGCTCCGTAGCACTGCACAGGCCCTGTATTATGCACCTGAGTCCACAGAACCTCACCCACCCATTTTTGGACCTCGCTCGAGCATGACAGAGCAGAAAATGGACAAAGGGAACATCACACATCAGTCCCTGCTAAAACAGAAACAGCAGTAAATTTCACGGAGCACCGCATGCTCTCTAAACACTTCTCACTTAAAGGTGGATAAAAAAATTGCATAAAAAACACATTTTTTTAAATTAAACAATATTTTTTCTCGGGTTCTATGGTGTTTATCCAGAATAGCAAAATATATTATGCTAATTTATTCTAATCTAATGAAAATCTTATTGCAATACAACTACCAGCGGATTACCACAGGTACGTGCGCTGAAAAGCAACTCATGATTGAATGATACTTCATTCGCTAATCGTACAAAGAGAAGCACATAGGAATTCTAACGTTTTCATATCACTCTCTCCTACGACACACACATTCAAGGCAAGAGCAAAGCTCCAGAGAGAAAAGTCCCTTTGCCAGAGACTCCCCGCAGGACCGCACATTAGCAAAATTACATCGCCCAACGTGGGGCTCGAACCCACGACCCTGAGATTAAGAGTCTCATGCTCTACCGACTGAGCTAGCCGGGCAGATATAGCAACAGTTTCGTCATTCTTACAGACAATGCAGCTATTAACACAGGGCACCTAGCAAAAGGTTCCCATTAATAGGTATGCAAAAGCCCTCGTTGGATGGTTTATCTGTGATAGCTTTAGCTACCCGTTAGGGCTCTAACTGATCAACATATATTTATGGCGCCACCATGACCGCACATATAAAACGTTTCAATTCGTGTGTATTTATGCAAAATTTGGGAACTACTAAAAATTACAGCCGCATCAAAGCTTCCGCGCTTTTTTTATCGACATCATTCAGAGCCAATGGAAATCGAAGAGGGGACAATGGGGGCGAATCAAATCTCTATACTATATTTTTATTTGAGTATAAAAGTATAAATGCCGGGTTACTTCGCCATGGAGGCGGAAGTACGGATAGATGTTGACGTTATTTTTAGACCCTGGTATGTAAATAAATGCAATCCCAGCCTCATATTTCACTGTAGAGAAGTACAAACGGCAAAATGAAGCAGAAACTGACATAAACTAATAAAATAAATTGACCATATTTAACGCAAATGACAAAGCAGATGTTATGACGCTTTGCAAGCAACCATCAAAAGAACACGTCTCAGAAAAACATGTGCTCGCATGAAAGCGACATTACGGTAGCGCTCTTTACACTCCCCAAGCTGATCGCGGCGATAGGTTACGGAGTGGGATGAGTCCGCATAAACACGACATTACGGTAGCGCTCTTTACACTCCCCAAGCTGATAGAGGCGATAGGTTACGGAGCGGGGTGGGTCTGCATAAACACAACATTGCAGTAACGCCCTTTATACTCCCCAAGCTGATCGCAGCGATAGGTTACGGAGCGGGGTAGGTCCGCATAAACACGACATTACGGTAATGCCCTTTACACTCCCCAAGCTGATCGCTGCGATAGGTTACGGAGAGGGGTAGGTCCGCATAAACACGACATTACGGTAATGCCCTTTACACTCCCCAAGCTGATCGCTGCGATAGGTTACGGAGAGGGGTGGGTCTACATTTCCGTGTATCTAGTAGGAAAAGCCAGTTTACAAACATTCGCCGGCCGAGTTTATCGTCTGCAAAGTATAACTGACATGTCAATTAATACACGTACTCTCGTCGGAGCAAAATGGCTTGCTGATGCAGTGAAGAATAACCTTCTGGGGCCTGCGTTGCGTGTTTTGGACACTTCGTGGTACCTACCCAAACTGAAACGTAACCCTTCAGTTGAATTCAAAGAGAGACACATACCGGGGGCTTCGTTCTTCGATATTGATCAATGCTGTGATAAAACGTCCCCGTTTGATCACATGCTGCCAGGTGAACACGAGTTTGCGGACTATGTGGGCGACCTGGGCATTGGCAATGACACGCACGTCGTGGTGTACGACGCCAGCGACTTCGGCTCCTTCTCCGCCCCGAGGGTTTGGTGGATGTTTCGGGTCTTTGGTCACAACTCCGTGTCCGTGCTTGACGGCGGTCTGAAGAACTGGCTAAAAGAGGGCCACCCTGTCACGGCAGATTTCTGCAAACCTGCCCCTGCGCAGTTCAGGGCGTCTCTGCATCGGCCCTGGGTGAAAACCTACGAGGATGTTCTGAAAAACATTGAGAGCAAACTGTTCCAAGTGGTGGACGCCAGGGCTGAGGGGAGATTCAGAGGAATAGAACCGGAACCAAGAGACAGTACGTATCCCAGTTCTGCAGCTTGATATTATTATAATGTTAAGCCTTCAAAGAAGCAAAGCAAGAAATGTCAAGCTCCTGTCCTTGCAGATAAGATCTCGTAAAACTTCTCAGCCTGTATTGTTTTAAATATGATCTGACGCGGCGGTAGGTCACATGACTTTCTCTGTTCCTGACAGATACAGAGCCTGGCCATATCCCGGGCTCCATCAACATGCCGTTCACTTGCTTCCTGGATGCCTCTGGCCTTGAACGTCCACCGGAGGAGCTGATAGAGATGTTCCGGGGTGCCGGAGTGGATTTGACCAAACCCCTGTGTGTGTCCTGCGGCTCAGGGGTGACTGCCTGTCACGTGGCCCTTGCGGCCCATCTGTGCGGCCACCCCGGCGTGTCCGTGTATGACGGGGCCTGGTCCGAGTGGTACACCAGAGCTGCCCCAGAGCACGTCATCTCGGAGGGCAGGGGGAAGCACGTGTAACGGACAACGACTGACCGATCCATGGGTCAGTGCCCAAGATGACAGTACAGGCTGAGCTGCCTATCGTCAAAATGTTCACTGGATGTACAGATAGAATCCATGTCAATTCTCAGTGATGCTGTGTAGTTTACCTAGTCAGAGCAGTAGAGCAGGTCAGGATTTCTGTTGGCCCCCACTTCTGCCCTGGCTGGTCTGGTACAAGATACATATCCGTCTGTACAGTAACAGCTTAACCTGTTTGGTAGTTTTACAACAAAAACAAATTTCTACAAACAAGTGAAATTGCATCCTGGCAGTGGATGAGGGGCTGTGGAAGGTGGCTAGATCGTCAAAAGTCCTGTTTAGTTCTGACTCTGCACTTGCTGTGATTTGTGAGAGTAATATATAAATGGAAGATGGATGATTACTGTTGATATAGCCTTTTGGCCCAGACTCCCCTCCAGTCAGAAAACAAGTCATGTCTGGGTGTGTATAATAGTAGAAATACTAGCTAAAAATGTACAAAAATTCTTTTTGCATTCAACGAATAAATAAAGATTTTAGCAGAAATTTTACAGAAATTAGACTTTTCATTTCTCTTTTGATTTGTTTCAATATAAATTAAATATTCCATTTTGGAGGTTTGTACTTGCCGAATGCTATGAAAACTGCAGATGAGTTAAACATATTCTGACGATGTCAGTTCTCATCATATGCAGGAAGGGTCGCCTTGATATTTAATGGCACAAAGTCTGCAGTCGGTAAACGTGACACAAAAGAGCTAAGGTGTGATGCTTATAGGGCTCAGCTGCCACCTATTAAGCACGCTATGGCCTTCTGGGTGCGGTGTGTGAACCTGCAGCGTAAACCTACAGGGGAGAGATGACAGCTTTTCGCTTTGGGGGTCTGTGCTCCAGCTAATTCAGCATTTTCTCTTAAAGATAGCGGATCAGGAGCAATTCCCAGCTATACTTCTATACAATTTTATAGTTATTTTTCTGTAGATTAAAGTATCCTCCGCGTTTTACACAAAGTAAAAAGTTAGTTATGCAGTTACACAGTTTCTCCAGAAGAGTGCTCTATAGACAACGATAAATGCCTGCATTGGTCTGAGACTGGAAGCCTAAAACTATTTGCTGGCTTCTGCAGCTATAGTTTATTGTAAAGGGTGTAGTTTTTGAGGATAAGTATTTTTAGTCCACTGTTCATTCTCATTTTCTTAATGAAACCTGTGTAATTGTATATATCCAAATTGTTTTCATATTGTCAAAAAATAGTTAATAAATAGTGGTTATTTCCTTTCAATTATTAGCTGCAACAAAGCGAATCAGATTGACATTACATCTGCTTACTGAATCACTGCCATGAGACAAAGCTCAGGAAGGTTTTGGTTTGCAGGAAGTCAAACCGGACGATCGCTGCTCACAGTGGGGTCAAAGGTCAGGCAGATCAGTGCCCCTTATATGGCCTGCACACTGACATGGAGATGCCGAGGCCGGGAAATCAGTCAGTTTCGGCTCAGCTCCGGTTCTCATTCTGTCATAATCAGAGTACTTAACCAGGCCAATTCAGGTATGCCTTTGTCATGCCCTTTCTGAGAGACGGAGTGATCCTGAGGTCACATAAACAATCACAGTCCTTAACATAAGTGAGGATGCACAATATCTATAGTATGGAGGACTTGCACACAGAGTTGCTACTGGTGTTGTGGTAAAGTGTAGCATCCGGTCTGTGGGGACTTAACATTACACACAGATATATCTATATAGGGCTGTGGTTGGGGGGAAGGGGGAGTCTAAGGAGCAGGTTTACTTGCTGCACCTCCTCCTTAAAGCAAGCCGCCTGCTCCTCCAGGAGGGGATGATGTTAATGTGCATAGTTACAATGTGACTAAATATTACAATGGCTAAGATTCATGATTTTAAACATGGTGTGATTGTTGGGTTTTAGCTTATCAGAAACAGCTACCTTCCTGCCCTTCCAGTGTCTAGAGTTTGCAGAGGATGGTGTGACGGGCAAAACCATCCAGTCGGGGGCTGATCTGTGGCCAAATACCCCACATTAATGACAGACGTCAGAGGAGAACGGCCAGGCTCGTTAAAGCTAACAGGAAACCCACAGGTGCAAAAGTAACAGGTCAGGGCATCAGCGGTGTGCAGGATAGCAACTCTACATGCTTAACTCATTTACCTTTAAAGCAGTTCCGGTGATAAATGTGTGTCTGTGTTTTCTAAAATTTTGAACCAAAATTGACGTCACAAAAACTCCCGCAGGCAGTAACATTTGCTGAGTGGGGGGGTTGGGGGGAGGCTTGCGACCCGCGCTGGTTTAGGAGCTGTCATCAGGGCCTCACTTAACAGCAGACCTGTCATGGCCCCAGGACAGCCTGCTCAGGGCTAGCATCCTCGCCGGGGTGTAAATGACTAATGCGTCACCAAACCGAATGACAAGCATTCAACAGAAGCTGTGCAGAAGCAAGACAAACATCCACAGGAAGAACCAGAGCCTTTCCATGGCTCCGCCGATCACTGCATATTTTTTACCGTCCGTGCAGATATGAGAGGAGCTGCGATTCAGGTGAATCTGCCTTCCAGATGTAGATACTGTCCTGCTGTTGAAACAGGTACAGCATCCTTCACTGAGCGGAATGGATCCTTAAAAACTCTGAAAGTGTCACTGGGAGACTGCAGGCCATGGAAACAAAAAAAAAAAACAAAACAAAGAAAGTGCGAGGAAGGAGCTTCCTCTGACGCCCACGGCAGTGCCAGCGTGGCACCGTCTGTGACAGAGGCAACCTATGCCCACCTCCGCCCACCTTCCCCACCTTCCCCACGCCCTGAGCCATGGTGCAGGTAAAGGGCCTGGGCTGTACGACACGCGTGGGTGCACTGTGGTCACCGTGTCAAAGCTCTTTGTTTTCTTTGAACCCCCATGGCAAACATCCCCCAGGGGCGCAGCGCTTATACCTGCCAGCAGGAACGTGGTGCAGTTTGGTATCCGACGTCTGTCTGGTGGCCTCGCTGGAAGCTGCACACTAGAATAGCACAGTTTTTCATTTTTTGTCATGGTATCAGAATGCGCTCAGATGTCAGAGGCTCTGCTCATGCACCCTGCGTGTGTTTATTTCTATGAATTGGTTAAATACCTTTAACATGACTGACCAACTGCCCAGAATTTTCTCTCCATCACTAGACTGGCCACCAGCAACAGTCCTATTCAAAATCCCAGGGTTGGAGAGTGATCCCACCATCGGGCCCCTGAGCGAGGCCCCTAACCCCCGATTGCCCCCGGGACTGGCTGCCCCTGCTCTTTCAAAGAATCCACATTGCTCTGGATGAAGGTGTCCGCTCAATAAATAAATGAATTATAATTAAAGTGGGCAGTGTCTGCACAGACCACATCATTCCGAAGGAAGGCCTGCATCGTGACGCCAGTGGGCAGTGTCTGCACAGACAACAGCATTCCGAAGGAAGGCCTGCGTCGTGAGGCCAGTGGGCAGTGTTTGCACAGACCACAGCATTCCGAAGGAAGGCCTGCGTCGTGAGGCCAGTGGGCAGTGTTTGCACAGACCACAGCATTCCAAATGAGAACGTTTCAAGAACTCAACAAAATGTGGTCAATAGAAAAATAAAGGCTCTTAGCTCATTGATCTTCCATTTGGGGTTTGTGGTTTTCAGAGAAAGATGAAATGCTGTCACCGTGCCGTCATCATTACCGTCACAATAGTAGCAGCACAGAACAGCAAAAACTCTCCTCTGAGAGGAAGATATTCATCATCCATCGACTTGCTCTGTCGCTGTGAATTACGGAGCAACAACTTCACCTTATTCTTAACACAATTTTTTGTCAGTTCTTCTATAAGTCACAAGGAGCACAAACTTCTTGCAGCCATGGCCAAGGAGACCCTCTGGTTGGGTGGACTGGGCTGCCGTCTCTCAGAGCTCATGGACAGTTCTGCTCTGCTCGTGGCGTGTTCATGGGCTGAGGGTTAGAATAACATCCACAAACAAGTTGCTGGGTACTTTTTGTCTAGAGGACCATAAATATCCTGGTGGACAACAGCACCTGGAAATGAGCAAGAACGAGAGAAGATTATTCATGCCGGAGGTGGTGGCATTCACCTCAGCTTTGAACAATGAGTCACTTTCAAAGCAAGCGGCATCATTCTGTGACAATGTGGCAGCGCTTCGCTGGACATGTCCCTTATGTTTCACTGCTGTCAACGTACAAAGGCAGTTTCTGTAATTTAGGATGAGCAGAGCACTGATGAGGTCTGGCTGGGGAAACGCAGAGAAGCAGCAAACAGACTTTTTTTAGGTAGAACTCTGTGATTTATTTCACCCACAATTGCAAAAAAAACTATGAGTGGCCAGAGATAGAATGTGTGTGTGTGCGTCTTGTATTTTGTTTGGTTACTTATGGTTAAGTTTAGGTTTGGGTTAGGATGAGTGTTATGCCCCTGCAATGGAGAGTCCCCATAAAGATATAGATACCTAATCTGTGTGTGTTTGTATGGACCGTATTGGCATTATTAGACAGTGTCTCACGGTTCCACTCCTACAGAGAAGTTGATCGAATTTGATTTTGGTAACTAAGGGCATTTTCGTTCTGTTTTGCTTCTGGGAAGTTTTTCAGACATTCTGAGAAAAAAATAAATAAATAGCGGGAGGACCAAGCTAACAGCACTATAGCACAGCCTGCTGCACGCGGATGGCTCTCAGGGATCCGTCAGACATCAGCGTCGTGCCTGCGTGGCCCATCAAGCTCACGGATCAGACAACAGCCTTGCTGCACCATGGGGACAATCTGCTCTGTGTTACAGGGCAGACCTACCAGGTGGAGACTGCTATGGATAAAATTAAATTAGTCTGAAAAATGATTGCTTTGTGTATGAGGAAAAGGGGTGAGACAATGCAAGCAGCCTCTAGACAGTAATGATTCTTCCTTACATGGCTGGACACAATAGGCAGCTTCATCCGGGTAAAATGAGGTCAGTATGTTAGGGGCCAGGGTGCGAGCATAGCCGACGGCTTGCGGTCGGCGTCTGCTAACAGTGTGAAAGCAGCGAGGCTGAGCCAGGGGCCAGTGGGGGCTTAGGGAGGGGGGTCTTTGCACTCTGAAGGGCGTGCATTTCTCACATTTAATCAGCTATCAGAGAAGCTTCCTTCACAGCTCCTGTAGATCGTGAATCCCTCCGACTACGGCCACCTCCGTCCGTTGCCAGTTTCACCATCACTGCTGTCAGTTGTACTCTCGCCATCAATAATCTGTTCCCCAGTGCATCACGCTCAGTGACTAATGCAGACTGATACTCGTATTTAGCACCATGTTCAGTGAATAATACTCCCTTGTTTATGTTAGTAACACGATCAAAACAAGTGTGAGGAGAACACAGATGTGGAAAAGGGACTGAATTTGTAAATGCGGGGATCTACTAGCTTGAAATATTCTCCAGACATTAAGTAGAGATTGCAGCTGATGAGTTCGTGTTCTGCAGGACGTGTCCGGGCCGTGGGGCTTGTGTCCGAGCAGATTCTGCAGCTCTCATCGCCAATGCCCTTCACATTGCTGCTTGAGCAGAAACCACGCCTTGCACAATTTTGCTTTCAAAACCATCTCAGCCTTTATTTTAAACTCGCCTCACCCTTCACGGCACAGCCTGCCCTCCCCCTGTTACCGCTCACTGTGGTCTGCAGTCGTATGTCTTTGTTTTCTGTTGTTTTGCTCTTGCCTTTGTACACGGACTGCACAATGCACCACAGCAATTTCCGCTCACAAGCCTGACCTTTAAGACAGCGCTTGGGCCACTGTGAGGTTTAGAGAGGTGATGGAACTGTTGCGAAACTGCCCCCCCCCCACCCAGCACCAAGCCCACCTCCTCAACACAGGTGCCGGGGGATTGGTGGACAAACAGCTATGCAGGTTGAAAGACTATCCTGGTGTGTTTTAGTTTTGCAGATTCACTGTAATGTATTTCGCGTGGGGATGTGCTACGAAGTGGACGTGTGAAAATAGTGTTCTGTTTATATAAAAACACACGAATCCATGCACTCCGTAGCGTTCTGGGAAATTAGTCTGGAGAATAGCCTTCACGAGTGTGAGTTGCAGCCAAGCAGCCATAGTGATTTGCATTTACTGCCAGGCTTATATCCTGTCCGTGATGTCCAGGGTGTTGCTTATGGACACCTCAGCAGTGCTCCTGCCGGGAATGTAACTGCTGGCGGTAAAGCAGTGAGACCACAGCGCTAAAATGAAATTAGCTGATAGTCGATGGGAAGTCCAATGGAACTTGCCTAGCTATACTATGGATTGGCAACCTTCCGAGACACGTTTAAGCTACGCTGCGTGTTTATGTTTTGTCACAGATAACTGGTTCTACTCTAATTCATTCAAGCCATGCGGCAAACATTCTGTTCATCCTCCCCTGCAGAAAAACCTGCCGACGGTTTGACAGTCGCATCAAGTGCATCTGTCACTACGGCGACTTACAGTATCACGCAGCAAGGCTGCGGCAGCAGTTTGCAAATTTACATGCAACGTTTCAGTGGCAGTAACCCCTGAGTCGGCACGGCGTTTCACTAAATGCGTGTACTTGTTTATACATTTGGAAGTCTGAAATGTTTGCTTGGGTTCAGTGAAACAGGATGTGGTCTGTATGATCACACTTGTCTCTATTTATACCTGTACGGGTAACATTTGGCTAAAAACCTAATCGCATTTCAATCACTAAAATGCTTGTGCATCTGCAGCCTGATCTGTGTGAGAGGAGTAGTAGGACTCTGTATTGAGTTTCCGGACAGCTGGACTAACGTCAGAAACAAAGTCGTGGTTTGGCCCCGTCACCATAAACTGTATCTGGGCACTCAGGTCGAGAAGGCAGAAGCATCATCCTGAGCGAGATCCACCAGCTGACATCAAGAGAGCGACTGTGAGGGTGAAGGCGTGCCAGCGGGTCCCGGGACTGACGATCGGCAGCTGGAAAGAGGGGTAAGTCTGCCACATGGTTCATGTCAGGGAAAAATACTCACTTGTTGGTCCTACTAACTGTGAATGTATAAGAATTACCCCCGGTGTCAAAGAGGGTAATGTGACACAGTGGCAGGCTGCTTAGGAAACAGGTCGTTCTTTTAACTTAAATAACATCCTCCGTTTCCTTTTGTTCTAGCGTAGGATGACAATACTAATGATAAAACTACCGATTATGAGTGAATGAAGCGGTAAAGTGAATAAAAGTATACACATATACCCTGCATCAGGCTGCCTGGCCATTTTTAGCATCTGCCGACCACGGGTGAATGCAACCTAAAGCTTAGGGGAGTCACTCAGTCGCTGCTCCGCGATCAAGACTATGGTGTGAATCAGTTCCTTTCCAGTTCCACCTTAATGTCCCCCAAATGACAGTTTCTTTAATTTCTTGTCTATTGATGAGACTATGCTCGTAGAATAGTAAACAACTACTACAGATCTGCCCAAAATCTTACGATAAAAAAGACTTTACGTCCTCTTGGAAGGGTGGCCCTTGGATATCTGAAGCGTTTGCGCGTCGAAGGTCAGTCAGTAATGCAGTAACTGGCAGCCTTCAAAAATGATGCCAGTCCTGCTACAATTTTCCTCCGAGACGTCACCCAGGCCGAGTTCCTGCCAAATCCTGTAGTGTCCGTGCATAAGACGGGAAAATCACAGACAGACTAACGTTTTGTTTCATTAAATAAGCAATTGCTTTTGTCTAAAGAGATGTGGGATTGGAGCTACGTTTGGCTGGGATGTGCAAAAATGTGAGAAAAGTACAGCCCAGTGAAAATGCCTCAGGCAGTCAAAAAAAAAAAGATGGTTAAATGATCTTAATGTTGGTGCAAAACCAGCAGCGTAGGAGAGAGTTTGATATCATTTCATGTTTTGTCAAAGTGTGTCATCTTAGCCATTTCAAAACCTCTCCTGAAAATCACCCCAGTGTTTGCACGAACCCTCCAACACACCGATGTCACCATGCTTGGCTAATCAGTACCTCATTGAGTTATATAAGGAATGAAATCAAATACTTAATTATTAATTGAGCTGAGGGAGAAATTTAACAAATAGGGTGGTGCAGACCCACTACATGTCCTGCTCATGTCCAAGGACAAAAGGGGGGGGGGGTTGTGGCTCAGCAGGCTAAGCCTCTGTGCCTGTGATTATCTTAACCCCCAATTCCATGGTGGCTGCCCAGGTTATTAGTGTCATTATAATCTCCCAGCACCCCCCCCCCCTCATATGACATCTAGTTCATTCCACATCTGAATACACATTTGAGCAGTTTAAAGCTTTTAAACGTTTAGATGTATTATATGGTTTCTGGCTGCTGATGTACACAGGACTAGTGTTTGGGAAACTCCCAGAAAGATCGCTTCCCAGTCTTATGAAAGGTGAGTTTTATCCTTATCATATTGGTGCTGCGATGTCTAATGACAGACAGACAGGGTGAAAAACAACTGCGTGTCAATCAGTTCTGATATCAGCCATGGGCTGCTCGATATGGCAACAAATTTAATCAGGTGTTTTTTTCTGTATCAAATGATATCGATAATCACAATATCATTCAAGTAATTGTTTCTTTAGGCCAATGTTTCATCTTTACTTAGAATTCACTTAGAACTAGCATTTAACAGATTGGCATTTAACAGAACATGAAAAAAATGCTACAAACTGAATTGTAAACTGCAGGCTGTCTAATTTTAATAAATAAATCATACGAAAAAAACATACATAAATCATACATATAAATAACACACAAACGCAGGTATTCAGTGAGCTGCAGATTTTCCCGTCAGACAGCCGCGATCCACTTACTGCGTCTTTCTGGGTCTGCTGGGAATCTATGGAGATGATAAACCAGGTGTATCACCTCTCTGACAATTCAGGCACATTTAAGAAAGATCTGCTAGAAAATTAAATATGTTGCTGCTGTTTTTTCTGCATTGTAAGGTGTTTTGTTTGGAAATACCGCAATTTCGTTTGACCTGCACTAAAAAGAGCAGGCCAAACCATTTTTTTGCGTTATAGGAAGAGAAATTAAAATGAGTTTTTTAGTCCAATTTATCTAGATTTATGAGTTGATTTAAGTCTATATTTTGTTTTATTCCACGTTGTCTAAAGAAATAAGTACGGTTGCAAATCCATGCACACGATTCACTAATCTGTGGGACGGATTATGTATCTGAGAGCAAAGATTAACATGTGGTTCTTCTCATTTGACACTAGGGGGCTCTGTATTGTGGACCCAAAATGAACAGTGTAAGCCTGCTACGAAATTACTATAAGCGGATTATTTGAACATCATTTATATAGAAATGATTCTGTTCCAAACTTCCAGATCCCTATAAGTGGTTGATCACTATAACACCGTGATCACTGTAAGACATGGGCATAAATTATGGAGAGAATGCGGGGGAGGGGGTGGGGGTGGTGAGCCCCACAGTAATCCAACAACCAATGCAACCCCCTCAACCTCCCCCCCCCAATGTTCAACCCAAACCATTGTTGGAGTGTGTGTTTGGTGTGTAATACCTGACCAAACACTGAATGGCTGTTTCTTCTCTGCGCAAATATACATGTCTACAAAGATACTACCCAGAAAAATAGCCTTAAATATTTTCACCGGCTGCCTAACACTTTTGCACAGTACTGCATGTGTAGTATTTACAACTGATTTGTGAAGCAAATAGCACATTATAAACAATACTACTGTTCGTGAATCAACTGCGCATAAGCGCGGCTGTGCTGAGCCAACGAGGAATATCTAGTCAGTGTATGCAGCACTGGAGCACGAACTGCACGACATCGTCCAAACAATCAAGAACCCCAAGTTATCAGCAATCAGAGTGGTAGCTGCGAGGGTGAGGAGTTTGCTGAAAGTGAAAAATGATTTGACCGTATCTTGGGTGTCTTGGTAGTAGGTGGTTTTTGCAGGAAGGATTAAAGCAGAAAAAGATAATTAAAGTGATTGGTACTCAGTCAGATCCACAGTGATTCTATTTCCCTGCCATTTACTCTCAGCAGTCCAGAGCTTTCTCCATTCCTCTGGATCATGCCTGAGAGCCAGGGGTGAGAGGGCTGTGGGCGTGGTGGCGAGGAGACGGAGGGTGTCGCCGTGTGAGATGAGGCTGGCGGGGAGACGGAGGGTGTCGCCGTGTGAGATGAGGCTGGCGGGGAGACGGAGGGTGTCGCCGTGTGAGATGAGGACAGAGCAGAGAGTATCGCAGGTGGCGGACAGGTCGTCTGAGATTCAGCTACGTGTCAGGATGAGGCCCAGATCCTGGCCAGCTTTGTAAGTAGAAGGAGTGCAGGAGTGCAGGCGGGGCAGGCGGGGCAGGCCGAATGAGGCTGGCAGGATGAGGCCCAGTGTCCTGTGCTTTGCTGAGGCGGACATTCTGGTCCCTAAGGATGAGGCATCATCCAGAATGGAGAATGAAAACACGTCCAGCGCTTCAGCAGAGTTCCCTTGTGCCCCCTATGGGTGAGAAATGATAAAAATATGCAGTTTTGCAGTGTCAAAATAACTACATAACATTCAAATACAAAGTAATTACAAAGAACTAAGAGAGGAGTAAATTTGAGGGTTTTGGGCAGTCGAAGTAGGAATGTTCTTTGGGGGGTGCAGGATTCTGATAGAGCCAGGATGTGAGGAACCAAATGCATTCTGAGACTAGAGATTAAATCAGCTTATACCACAGTGCTGTTGAATTCTCCAACCTGATTGGTTAGCAGGGTGTTGATTCATTTTCTATAGCACACATAGTGTCAGCTGATCATATCACAGTAGTAAACCGATGTGCTATTATAAGTGGCAAGATGAGTGTGCGACAATTAAGAAGAATAGTGTGTTGGGCTCTGGAGGTACAGAAGCGGCTGCTGTTTATACTGCACTTACCACATATTTGTACCTAAAGACATTATTTTCACATTTACAAGTAAAAAATGCAAGAGATCATCTGCAAATATTTCAGTGATAACTTTTCCTGGTTACTCTGTCTCAAACTTTTCTTTATTGTTGCAGGTTTTGGAATTAAATGCAGAATTTCAAACCAATGACAGGCCTATGATCTAAGCACCAGACAGTTGTTGAATTAAGAGTAGAGGTTTGGGTGAAACATGCTATGAATCAGCCATGGTATCTATGTCCCCCCCCCCCCCCCAACACCCTTGCTGACACCATTCACAATTTGGTAGCTCCAATTCAAAGTGGGGAGACCCCACGACAAGACCGATAAAAACTCCACACACATAGAACCAGGGTAGAGACTTTGTCTCCAGAGGTGTGAGAGAATCATGGCAGCCTGTCAACCACCACACCCCCCAGGCGTTGGGTTGTATCTAAGCAGAATGTTGAATCATTGGCAGAGCCAGATGTGAAGTAACCACTGTACCTAAGGTCGTTCTTAGCCTCCATAAACGCATAATGCACAGCTTGCGATGCACTAAGCCTTGCTTTACTGATGGCAGCAATGTCAGTAACACACGAGGAGGGCGGAGCCTCCACAGGGAGAGGGTGGGTCTCCGCAGGGAGAGGGCGGGCCTCCGCAGGGGTGGGCGGGCCTATGCAGTGAGAGGGCGGCCCTCCGTGGGCCAGGAATAAAGCCGATAAAGCAAATCGCTAATCCTTTGACCAAAACCAGTGGATTCCTCCATTAATTTACCGCCGATCGCCAGAGACAGGGAAAAATCAGCTACTAACAATCACTTACCAAGCACAGCTTAGATATTTGTCAGATCAACACGGACGCTTTACTTATCTGTGAGCTTTTTCTCTTGACAACAGGCTGATATGAGGGCTGTACATCTGAGTCTTCTGACCTTCCTGCTAAATCTCTGGATTGTTCTCTCCATCCAAGGTAAGTACATGCTACCCCTGAAAGACGGAGGGTTGGATTCATCCACCCTATGCTTTCAGGCTCTAAAACAGAACTCCTCAAGGCCTGTAGCTGTTGGCTTCATTTCAGCTCCTACCTGTGACCCAATCAGGTGTCCATTGCAATTCACGCGAAGCTCTTCTTTAAGGTCTGTGAAATGCATGATGATTTGCAGTTTCTTTTGTCCCAAGGTCTTGACTGTGTCAATGACTATGTCAACAACATCACCTGTGTCTGGAACTGCTCCACAGTAGGTCCAGGGGTGGTCTGCCATCTCCAAGGGCAAAAGGCTAACAAGTGAGATTCGCTGAAGGGAAACCAGGTGGACGGGAATCTTACTTTTCAGACTGATCCATTTGAATCTGCAGAAAGCTGAATATATTCTCCTCTGTCCCACCAGTGTCAGGATATGTGATCTGAAGCCTTTGTTGGGATCAGACGGCACTTTGAGGGGCTGCCATCTTGTTTTTGTGTCTAATGTAAGCAACGACAACCCGACTCTCCCAGATGCATGGAGAGCCTTTCTGAGATGGTCGTGATATCACAAATATAATGGGCTTGATACAGAAAATTGGCCTCTCAGTTTACAGCACAATGCTTCAGAAATTCCGTCCTTCTTACTTGACAACTGATGTTCTTTCTGTGAAGTACTACTACATAAGAGAAAAATGGGGCCCTTGTTTAATGGCATATTTGTGTTGAAACAAAAGAGTAATTAAATTTTGCAATAATTAAATAAAATGGTGAGTCTCACAGGGGCCAGAGTACCAACATGCTGTAACGTGGGGAAAATGCAGAAGCTTCACATGGTTTGGTACTGAACCCAGGACCGTACAGGTGTCTGGCTACCATGCAATTTACCATCAATTTCTTATTCAAAAATGCACATTTAACCTAAAGGTAAAATGCAGTGTCATTGGGAATGAGCCTGCAGTTATAAATACATTGGTTTGACTGAATAGTTACCCTAGATCCATCCATCCACCCATCCATCCATCCATCCATCCACCTTCAAATTGCTTACTGTGATATGAGGGAGCTGGATCCCTTCCCAGGCGGATGAAAAGATGAATCATCTTGACTATTTAACATCTTTATTAACGTAACTTTCCTTCCTTCCAGCAATTTATTTTTCGGGACAAGATACCACTTAATGTTACATGTAACAACTACATGGTATTCCGTATACCCGATTACTCACCAGCAAGAAACAGTGAGTTTCCCTGCATTTGTTATCTGTCCTAAAGTGGTCTGTTAACTGATTTGTTAAACCAGCATAAAAATGTGGGGGTGTGTGACTGGATGTTTGCTTTTGGCAGTCAAAATGCACCCTCCTGGCAGGCCCACCGTACTCAAATCCAACATGTCCTGGAGTCCCGGTCACCCTTTGTCACCTTACATATTTGATTACGAGTTTCAAATGCAGTTCAAGCTTGAGAAACATGGATGGGAGGTAAGCGCTTGGAAGGAAGTCGGGGTTGAGGCTGGACGCCATACTGGTGCATCCGCTATGTGACGAATTTTTCATATACTACCATACTGCAGCATAGCTGAAACACAGCTGCACCACCTGAATAGGCAGCAACAAAGTATCGTTCGCTGCTAGAAGCGCTATTGATCGCTGCATCGAGAGGGGACCCCTGTTAACTGTGCATACCCTCAGTTATAACCTTATAACACAACGATTCTCCGTATATAACTGTTCAGCATGATAATATTTATAGCTACTGCTTCAGTCTGTGCCTCAAAATGTGGATTACGTGTAATATAACTAGGTCTGCAGTTAAATGCATATTGGTAAAGCAAAATCCCTACTATTATCAATTTATTACGCTAATAATTACTAAATGCATGCCAGTTAAACAAACAATCTAAATATATGGTAATAATCAATAAATCATGTCACTATCTAGCTAAATGAATCTAATAAAACATGCCGGTGAAACAATTATCGAGTTAAGTATAGAGGTATAGTGAATAAAACATGTCGCTATCTGGGTGAATATACACCAATAATCGAATCAAAGTCAGTTATAGGCCGACTATCTAGCTAAAGGTATGCAATTTTTATCATAACAAAAAATACATTTTAAAAACATGACAATAATATTGACGTAAGGGTCAAAAACACAAATTTTCGGTGGCTGCCCTCATCACCATGGGGAAGCGGGTTAAGAGGCATTTTGGCAGGGTGGCTGTCGGTTTTGGGGGGTGATGAGCGTGTGGTTTGCTTCTGCTTCTCAGGTGGCGCGGGACGTCTATTCTAAACGGAAAATGTGGGTGGAGCTAAATGAAGACATACTGGAGAAGGCAGCGCTGTATCAGGCCCGGGTTCGGGTCCGTCCGGTAGAGAAACTCTCAGGGGCTTGGAGCGACTGGAGCCCCACCACTTCCTGGAGGCCAGAGAATATGCCCCCCTCTCAAGGTATCGTGCCATTAATGCTGGGTGGTCGTCAAGGTCAAGATCAAGGTCAAGGTCAAGGTAAACTTTATTATCCCCCCAGGGGAAATTCATATGGTCAACATTGCAGGTCTCACAATGCAAACAAACATACCACATTGTACACATAACAAAAATTCGGAGAAGGCAAGCGAATAAATAAAATTGAATAGACATGCAAAAGGGTAAAATGAAGGTACAACAGATATACTAGATCTGTTGTTGTGCAGTCTAATTGCTGTGGGCACTAATGACTTATGATACCTTGTTGTTCTGATTACTCTGCAGAATTCTGACATTCGACCTATTACTTCTGACAAAGTTTGAGAACAGAGGATGTGTAGGATCATCTAAAATTTGGTTCAATAATAAAAATAAATAAATGAATGAAATTTGTTTCATCTTTTCCATAAGCAGCTCATTGTACAGCTGGTCTGCAGAAGCCTGGTCAACTCCAATGACCCTACTGGCTAATTTGATAAAATGCTACAATTTCTTACGATCCTGTGCATGCACATTTCCAAAGGTACAAATTAACCCAAAGGACAGGACACTCTGCAGAAGAGCTTCATAAAATAATTGAAGAATGCCAGTATCTAATCTAAAAACTTTTAGTTTCCTGAGAAAAAACATCCTCTGTTGCAATTTCCTCATGCGTATCAAATCTACAATAAAAATTATTTAACTCATTAGCCATATCAAGCTCATTAGCCATAAGATGATTCTTAGGTTTGTACCCTGTAACTGCTTGTACCCCTTGTTATGCTCGTTTAGGATTATTTTAAAAAAAGTTTACGTTTGTATGCAACTTTACAGTCCACAATCAGATTACAGTCCAGAATCTTCCTCTGTACTGTTTTTTTGTCTTCCCTATTTCCACCTGATTTAAACAGGCGCTTTTTCTGATTAAGGAGGTGCTTTAACTCCGGAGTCACCCAAGGTTTATTGTTGGGAAATAATTTAATATTCTTTTTGGGTATAAATTGTGTCCTCACAGAATTGTATATACCCTGCAATAGCAAACGCTGCTTCACTGACATTATCAGTCCCATCAGTAACTACATCCCAATCTGTACCTGCAAGATAAACATTAACAAACAAACAGGTGTGAAGAGACGTGCGGAGACCGTTTTGCCGCTCGCACATGCGCCATCTTACACCTATATATTTTGGCTGTAAAAGTTGTTGATGTTCTTGCATATTCATCAGTGGCATGGTTTTGAATTGTGTAAGAAGATGGTCTGGATGCTGAATCAGCTGCCGTTCTCATGTCCTAGGCTTTAACTGGAGTGTGGAAGTCCCCGTGGTGCTCGTGCTCAGCTTCATGTTCATCATGATCTTGATGGTGTTCCTATGCCGCACCTACCAGGAGAAATGGTGAGGCCACTTGTGACTCTCACGTGACCCAAGGCTGTGTGACCTGCCACTGCTCATTTTCTCTCTCCCCTGTCCTGTTGGCAGGTTCTACCAGGTTAAATGTCTGCACATCCCCGATCCCTCGAAATATTTTGCCAGCCTCCACTCCATTCACGAGGGAAACTTCCAGGTACCCGGGGTTAAGCACAGGCTTGTCTCATGTGCATATCAAAAGATAAATGAAATGTGGTTTAACACAAATTGTTTTAACATTGTTTTACCATCTTAAATGGTGTCTTTGTGATAAAAAGCTTCACGCTGATGAGTTCAAGGAAGAACTGCACCACACCAAAAGCCCCAGTTTCCTTGGGAAATGTCTTTTGAGTGTTGGCCCTTGGTGTGGTTTCTGTGTGTCTTTGAGTCCCCGTCGGTAACGGATGCACATGGGCGTGGACTCTCCCTGATCTCAGCCAGTGCTCGGGTGTGATACCGGAAAGAGCAGACAATCTGAATGGTTGCTTGAGTATTCCTGACGTGCAGAACGTCATCAGAGCATCTAGAACAGATGATAACTGAAAGCCAGCCTCCATTTGCGCACTTTCTGTGATTACAACAGAAGGTGTAACTATGGCAACTGCGTAAATAGGAGGCTAGTTGATGGGGGGGTGATATTGAAATGCCAAAGATGCTTTTGTTTTACTGCTTAGATAGATCTCTGTTCCTGAAGGCCTTAACAATGATGCTCCCTTGACGGGTGGAGGTAGCGGCCGACCCTACAGCTCATAGCTCTCCTATTCCCCACAGAAATGGTTAAGTCCCATGTTCTCGCCGGAGTCTTTCGACATTCTACGCAACTCCGAGGATATTTCGGTGCTGGAGATCTCCAAAGAGAAAGTCACCCCGGCTTACCTGGAGTTCAGCAACCTGGCCAAACAGTGGGACAGTAGTGGTCATTCCACCTTCTCCAACTTAGGATACCTATATTCCAAATACCCCAGCTCCTACGAGATCGAGCCCTGCTCCGTCTACTTCAGCTACCAGCCGGGTGAGGGTCAGGACGATCAGGACGACAGCTCTTATGAACATTCTCTTCAAACGAGCTCCTCCTATGAGTGTCTAGCAAAGGACGGAGACTTCCACAGGCATGTCGAGGTGCCCGACTCAGGCTTCGGGACTGGGCAGGAGGATCAGGAAATGGAGGAGAATGAAGAGGAGAAGGTGGAGCTGAACAGCTTTGGAGAATCAGCACACTGGCCTGCTCCTTTAGTGGCGTGCCCTTCATCCAGAGCAGTCGTCTGTCCTGCAGGCTCCTCTCAGCCCTTCCACAGCTTCCCACAGCTTCCCTACCCCTATCCTGTTCCCCGTGACATGGGTTTAGCAGATAGGCCCAGTGCCCCCGTGGAATCATTTGGTATAACCCCCGGCAGGTTCTCCTCGGTGAAACTGGAGCCCTCCAATGGTGGATACCTGTCACTGCAGGAAATGGAGCTCACTGGAGGCAACAAGTCCATCTGAAAAGCCTACAAGTCCCATCAGTACTCGCAGTATAATCACGCAGGGACGGATTACGGACCGGGCCAGCGGGGCCTCTGCCCAGGGGCCCTTAGGGTGCAGGGGGCCCGTGGGGCCCCTAGCCCAAAACAATTTGCAACGCTTATCAACAATGTATTTTCGTTTGTCTATTTTAGAGGGCCTACATTCTTTGATCCTCTGCCTACAAGGGCCCCTGACCCTATAGGGCCTCTGATGGAAACATGGAGGGAGGGCGTTTGGCTGCCAAGGGCCCTTGAATTGTGGTGGTGGTGCTGGTGGTGGTGGTGGGGGGGGGGCCCTCGCGAACGTTTTGCCCAGGGGCCCACACAACCCATAATCCGTCCCTGCAATCATGAATGGGCCTTGAAGCCAATTAGGACAGGGACAGTTTATGAATGGATGTCTTGCAAATTTTTGCAGTCGTCCTCATAAGCACTGTCAGAAAGGACAGACGTGTCGGGGGAATATTTGCACCACAGATTGTAGAAAGCATGATGCTCTGTAACTCTTTGCTCCCTGCAGACACCGTGGTGTAGATTAGACAGACTTACAGGAGTCCTCATGTGTGGCTCATCTTTTTCTGGAGGGCATTTGGCTGCAGGAAGATCACATGCAGTCATGGCACGAGGGCCTGTGTCCTGTATCCCACGCAAGCTGCCCAGATTGCCATACCAGTATGCCTATTCATGAACTTGTATCATGTGCAATGACAAACGAGCTGAATCTTCATCTTAATCATATTGTCATACGAGGAAAGGTTATTTGAGCTAAATCTGTTCAGCCTCAAGCAAAGGAGACTGAGGGGGGACATGATCCAGGTCTATAAGATTCTAACAG